ATTTCAGCCTTGTGATGCACAAATTCTCAAAGTTACATTTCTCAGAGTAATGTAGGGCTTCCCACTAAAAACAGGGAATGTAACTGAGCATAGATATGATTCATAGGCAGAGAGAGGGTTACAAATACCTAGGATCACTGTCAATGATCTGATCCTTTTTGGAGTTAACCTGCCATCTTAGAAACAAAGGGGGATTATTTTGAAGAGAAAGCCATAGTGCAGGTGGGCCACTGGCCCAGAGAGGATTTCTGTGTCTACAATCTGGATTCAATGACTCTTACTTAAGATATAAAACATGCTGAAGTCTTAAGAAGAAAAAGGGTCCAAGAACTTGGCATTGGTGATTCATTAATGCATTCTCTATTGATTGTCAAACACCATCAGATACTATATGACAGCAAACAGAATTCCAAGCTCTACAATGTAGTGAAATCAACACTAAAATGCTATTCATAAAAAATTATTTAGGGGCTAGAAGATGGAACTCAGGCCTCCACATATGTCCATTCCTGCCTGTGTGTAAACACACATACACACACACACACACACACACACACACACACACACACACACACACACACACACAAACAGGCACACACACACATGCACCACCAACAGCAGCAGCAGCACCAACAACATCAGCAGCAATTATGTTCAAGCTTTCCTCAAATACTATTATTACCTGAAAAGATGTGAGGGCAATTTTGAGTCCCAGCAATGGCAAGTCAGTTCAAATTATTTACATTCAAAAGAGGAGACAGCAAGTCAAAAGCCACTTGTATCCTAAGTGAAAGGTCTTCAGGTTTGTGCTGAAATTCTTCCAGGAATAACAAATATCACAGAAGTCAAAAGTTATATAAACCATCTTGACAAGAGAAAACTGTTGGGACTCTACATGTCATTGTTTATAGAATGTCGACGAAAATTGTTCTAGGAAATGTCAGAAATCCTAACAAAAGTCTTGAGCATAGAAAGCACTGATGTTCATTTCCAAATAATAAAGCCAAAATAGTTTCATTCATGATACGAAAATAAGTGTAAAGCCCCTCTACCCCTACTTCTACTTTATAGAAGGTATTTTAAAAGCTAGCCAGTTTTATTATTGCCTTCTTTCTCTGCACAATTCTGTTAGAAAACTGTTCTGTCTTGGGGGATTTATCTACCACTGAGTTCAGTACATGCTCTCCCATTACTGGTAAGTCATGTACAACTTATGGAGAGACAAGAATCATGACTACTGGTGTCAGAGAACCCCATTCCTAATATTCAATGCCTCCATCACCCCACATGGCTCACAATACTGTGTCAACATGTAACATAACTCTAATTAATAGACCATCATTGCTGAATCTACAATTGCTATCTATATTAAACATATAAAATGAGAAATAATATAGAATAGAGCACAAAATATTGGTAAACTGGTATAAAAGATAAAGCAAGGAAATGAGAAAGTTCATGTAATACAGGAAAAAAGAGGAGGAATCCTGTGTGGATAGAGTTAAGCCAGACGCTAATCGAATCTCTGTCAATACCCTGGTTATTACACTATACAGGGATGTTGTGAGTCATTATTGGGGAAAAGTGGGTGAAGTGTGTGGTTGTTTGAATGTATTTGGCCCCCATAAGCTCATAGGGAGTGGGATTATTAGGAGATGTGGCCTTGTTGGCGGAAGTGTGGGCTTGTTGGAGAAACTGTGTCATTGTGGGGAGGGGCTTTGAGATCTCTTTTTTCTCAATCTTCACTCAGTGTGACAGTCAGTCAACTTCCTGTTACCTGCAAAAGCAATACTCTTGCAAGCACTCTCAGCTCCAGCACCCTGTCTGCCTGCACGCTGACATGCTCCCCTTTATGATCATAATGGACTGAACCTCTGACACTGTAAGCAAGCCACCCTCAATTAGATGTTTTTATTTATAAGAGTTGCCGAGGTCATGGTTCCCTTCACAGCATTGGAAACCCTAACTAAGACAAAGTGTTAACAGGATTTCTCTATAATATTTCTTACAAATGCATGGCAATCTATTATTGTCTCAAAATAATAATAAAGTCTCAAATTAAGTGACTGCTGATGGATTCATACAATAGCACAAATCAATCTTAAATCCATCTTTCTAAGGGACAAAAGCCAGACTCAAAATTTGGTATACTGTATGAATGATCTGTGAACATTCAAAAGATGCAAAACCTGTGCTTTTCCTATGAGGATAAACAATACCAGAGTGACTACTGTGACTTATGGGAATGAGTAAGACGGTTGTATGGGAGAAGTTTTCAGATGATAGAACTTTCTTGTGTTGTTAAGTAGGCAGGCACTGGCAGGTTTGGAGGCCATTGAGGATAGGCTGCTCCTTCACAACCTGCTTTGGGCCCCACCTTCTGTTTACAGGATAACATTAGAAAGTAGTGATATAGAGAGAAGATTTTTGTGATTTTTGAAAACATTGTCTTTAAAGGGTTGATAAGGTACCTAAATGAATTCTCAGGGTGAATCCTAGGATACCTGACAGGCTTACAACTCAGGGGATAAAATGCTACATACAGGAGGATATCTTTTTGTAAAGTTAATAGTCTTGCTTGAGATTCCTGGAGAGGGAGAGAAATGAAGTTGTACCCATGTCCCTATGCAGTCAAGCTTTAAGCCTAGTTGTACAGGACTATCCTCTCAGCCATACTGCAGCCATCTGCAGGTGTTCTACTGGGCCTGTGCCCAAAAGATCATCACAGCTGGATCTGTTGACTGCACAACTTCCCTCAGAGAAAGAGGGGGCAGGGAGATCCTGGACCCTTGCCTAACCATCCAGTCACTCCTCCCAACCAATTATAAGCAATTCTGCCCTAACTGTACATTGAAGTCTTAGGGGAGGGGCTAGATGATGTAGGCGCTTGAGGATGAGGGCAACATGGAGAAGCCATCATCCATGCTGCAGATCTTCCATTTGGGCTGGTTTAAGGACACCTCTGATCCTACCCATAACCCCTCACCCATGACTCTGTAAGCCCAAAAGACTCATTGGTCCCCCTGGTGAGCTTTGGTGGATTCATAGCTTGATTTATCTTTGGGGCCTTTCGGGGAGGGGAGATGGTGTTGACGGCTCCTGCAGGGAAGGGACTTGATCAGCACTGGCACATTGATATTTTTAGATATGTGGAAACATTATTATCTCTATGATGGCAACTTTCATAGTGAATGTTAACCATGCTGAAACTCTCTTCTTACCTCTGAATAAGGGGCTCCTTCCCCATCCCATGACCTCATAACATTTTGACTTTCTAGCCTTCTTAGATGACTAACCTTGTACACACCTTTCAGGTAAGCTTCTGGAATCCCTTCCAATCCAAGAGTGAGGTTCATTCTTCGGATGTGATTGGGGCTGAGTGGAGGGAAACAAGAGTAGCACACACACTACAATGCACAGTCAGAGGGCAACCTCAGTGTCATAGTCCTTGATTTCTACCTTGTTTGAGACAGGGTCTCTTTTCCTCCCTCCCTCCCTTCTTCCCTCCTTCTCCCTCTCTTCTCTCCTTCCCCCACCTCCCAAGTTGCTGTTGCTACTGCATACATCAAGCTAGCTATTAGCTGCTAGCTGGCCCGAGACCTTCCAGGAACCCTGTTTCCACTTCCCACCTTGCCATCGAACACCAGGATTACAGTTGTGTACAGCTGCACCTGGTGTTGCACAGGTCTGCGCAGCCTCTAGTCTTGTTTCTTTGTGACTGTTACCAGAGTGTCTAGAGTCAACGTTGGGCCCTGGCAGCCCTAACAAACTAGGCTTGGTCACTTTTCTTCAACATACACAATAAAGAGACAAATGGTTGAGAGGGTCAGATTAAGGAAATTTATTTAGTGTAACTATATAAAAAGAGGAACAAATAGAGAAGCCCAGTGATGTACCCTAACTCCCTCCGAAGTCCATCTTCAAGTACTGACATAAGGTTGGTTTTTTGTTTGTTTGTTTGCTTGCTTGCTTGTTTTGAGACAAGGTCTTACAATATAACCCTGGCTGATTTAGAACTTGATAAGTATACCAGGCTGGCCTCAAACTCACAGAGTTCTTCTTGCTTCTTCCTCTCCAGTGATGGAATTGAAGGCATATGCCACCACACCTAGAGGGGATGCTTATTTCAACAGTCAGTGAAAGGACATGAACGTCTGCCGAATATCCTTGCTCCTGTCAAAGTAAGTACAAGACCACTCATCATCAAATGACCAAGCACATCCACCATAAGAACAAAATAAAACTCATGAAGACCCCTTAGGATCATCCACAGAAAGCAGAGGGAACATCTGCTTCTTCTCTTCAGAGTCCAGGAAACTCTAATACAGATAACTCACTTATGGGATCATTGCTACAGTCATCCAATTTTCAGCCTCCATCAAGCAGTTACTATAGATAGAGACTAATACACAAAAAGACACATAAAGCAGTTGCATAAATTTTCAGTAGTCAGTGGAGTTCTCCACAGAGGCCACCAAAATAAAGTACATATAATATTGCTCATTCTCCATAGGGGCCACCTAGACAACACGTAAATAATATTGTGCATGCCTGCTCGTTACAATGGTGATCTCTTAAAATTAGTCCAATTCAAATGCAAGCAGACGAGTTTACTAAGACTCTTAACTTGTATCCAACATAAAGATGACCACTTAACAAAGCCAGCATCTAAAGGACTATTTAAGCCTCGGGCCTAGGAGATAACCAGTCTCCATTTGGCTGGTACTGTAAGTGATCCAAGTGACTTCACATGGTTTTCACACCTCAAACTTGGAGACGATAAATGAACCAAATCTAAAGATCAGTGTGGAAATGAGGCTATAGGAAAGCAAATGTGCTGGTAAGTTTTAACTGTTAACTTGACACAGCTAGAACCACTGGAGAAAGGGAACCTCACCTGGGGGATTGCCGAGGTCGGAATGACCTGGAGTCATGTCTGGTGGGCTTGTCTTGGTTGTTAATTGAGGAGAGAGGACGGTTCAATGTTCCTGAGTCTTGAACTATGTGAGAAAGAGGAGAGCTAGCTAAGTAGAAGCAGCGGCCTCGGGCAGCCTGGGCGCATTCATTTCTCTCTGCTCTTTTCTTTATGAGAATTTTTGTGAGATTACAATATAGTTACATCATTTTCCCCTCCCCCTTTCTCCCTTCAACCCCTCCTAGGTACCCCTCTTTGCTCTCTCTAAAATTCATGGCCTCTTTTTCTTTAATTGTTGTTGTTAGTGGTGGTGGTGGTGGTGGTGGTGGTGTGTGTGTGTGTATTCCTAAACCTATAAACACAACCTGCTCAGTATGTTACTTGTATGTATGTTTGCAGGGCTGACTGGTTGGTATTGGATAACCGACAGGTGTGCTCCTCCACGGGGCAGACTATTTCTCCCACTCTCCCATTCCTTAGTCACCTGTAGTTCTGTGTCTTGGTTTGAGGCCTCACAGACCTCCTTTTTCCACGTTAGTGTGTCTATTGATGTCATCTTTGTTCAGCTCACACATAGGCAGTCATGTTAGGGAGATTTTGCGTGTAGCTTCTAAATTTACTAGGAGACAGGATCTGACAGCAAACTCTCTGATCCTCTGGTTCTTACAACCCTTCCACACTCCTCTTCTTCAATGATGCAGAGAGAACCTGGCAGCTAGTATGCTTTGGTATGTTAATGGGCTTCCCTGTTAGCCATTTGTCCTGTGTTTGAGGCCTAACAATTATGGAGCAGGATAGTAACATAGGGGGAAGTATGGGGACATGAGAAGGAAAAGAAGCCCCTTGGGACCTGATGAGAAGAGCCCTGCAATGCCTACTGGATGCCATAGCTTATTCAAGGAGTGTGGAGCATGCAGTAAGGTCATGGGCACTTTCCCACTCAGGGCTCCAGAGCACGTAGAACCAAGGGTGTGTGATGGATTGACAGCCTTGTCAGTTGAAGATGCAGCGATGACACATGATCTTTAAAAACTTCGGCAGAATAAAGGAATCAGGACACTCTGGGCTGGGTGCAGGACCTCAGTGAAGGACCCTACCTGCTGATCTATTTAGGGATACCATGCACAGTGCAGAATCACACCATGTCCCCAGGAACTGGAGAGACCCAAATGAAGCTCCTAAGAAGAAAAAAACTGGGGGAATAGAAGTGGGGCCCCTTGTCTGGAAAGGTTTAGGGTAGGAGTGAGGTGTGAGGGCCACAGGTACTGAGTGAGTCTAGAGGCCAATGTGGACTTTGGTATACTAATAGGAATCTCAAATAGTCATTTGTCCTGGTTTTCTCTGGGACCTGACATTAACCGCAACAATATGATAAAATACCTGAGATTATGAGCACAGTTAAAAATAAGATCGGATCCATCCAGGTATGCCCAAATATCAAGATATCATTTTCATCCCAGAAATATACTAAGTTGCTCTTTCACTTGCTCTTGGCCAAAAGTCTGAGAAAGGATACACAATTGCTTCTCAGTTATAAACTTTTTAAAAAACAAAAACAAGACTTTGCTGTGGGATGTTCTGTATGGCAAATATGTTAATAAATAAAACATTGATTGGCCAGTAGCCAGACAGGAAGTATAGGCAGGACTAACAGAGAGAAGAATTGAGGGAACAGGAAGGCAGAGAGAAAGACGGCCTGGAGCCGCTGTCAGAACAAGGAAGATGTAAGGTACCAATAAGCCACAAGCCACGTGGCAAAGTATAGATTAATAGAAATGGGCTAAATATAGGAGTAAGAGCTAGACAATGATAGGCCTGAGCTAATGGCCAAGCATTTTAAATAATATAAGCATCTGTATGTTTATTTTATAAGTGGGCTAAGGAACTGCCAGGGCTTGACGGGACCCAGAGAGAAAACTCCAGCCACAAGACTTTTTTTTCATTTATTTATTTAGCATGTATAAGAATCATTATGGTCAAGTTTCTGTATGAGGTGTGTTAGGTTTGTGTGTGTTTGTGTGTGTGTGTGTGTGTTTGTGTGTGTGTGTGTGTGTATGGCACTTGGGGGTGGGGGTCAAGAACACACCACACAATAGACCTAATGCAAGAGATTTATTGGGGGGTATACAAAAGGCTGCCTCTGAGCAAGGATGGAAAGTAAGGGGGCAGACCATGAAGGCACAGGCTTTACAAAAGGTGTGAGACTTGTGGCAACAATGGAAATGTGTCAAATTTGGTGACTGGTGATGACATGGCCACTGGCTCTGAGTCACTCACTGAAGGTAGGCTAGTGGAGCACCTGGTTCTGGAATGTGGGTGGGTCTAGCTTTATCAACAAGGTGTGCTTAGGAATCATCAAAGAGTCACAGATAAAGCAGGAGGCACTAGGGCACAGCTGGCAGTTGGTACCTATTTGTCTCAGACATCTGAGGGCTGAAAAGTTATAAGCAATATAATGATAAAGCATCAGAAAGGGTACCTTCAGTGGCCAAGGTGAGCCACTAAGAGATCACACCATGCAACAGATCTATTGCAAGAGGTTTATTGAGGGGGGTAGGGGGAGCAAAAGGCCATCTCAGAGTGGGATAGAGTTGAGAGAGAGACAGACAGACAGACAGACAGAGACAGAGAGACAGAGACAGAAACAAAGAGACTGAGAGACAGAAGGAACAAGACAGAGAAAGAACAAGAGATAGAACAACACAGAAAAACAATCTGGGGGTAGCTGGGGCCTTTAAGTAGGTGAATGTTGCTACACAACTCTACATAGCTCACAGGGATGCAAATGCTCGCTCAGGTAGACATAAGTTGTAGCAGCTGAAGAAGCAGCAGCAGCCTCAGCCACTGCAGGTTAGCAGGGGTTCCAAATTTACAACAGGCTGTCTACTACATGGTCAGGAAAGGAGGTGGTCTCAAGCCCCAGGATAGTCATTAGGTAAGGCTTTGCATCCTGACCAACAGTTTGGGGAATCTGGGAAGGGGGCTATGCTAGGAGAGCATGAAGAATACAAACCTGTGGGGAAAAGAGGGCAGTAATTTCTCATGATCAGGGACTATAAAAACCACTGTCTTATGACAAATGTATATGTCAACCATTTTTGCCTTTTCTCTACGTGGGCATCCTGTTCTGCAGAATCAAATAGTAAAAACTTTTGCTTTCACTTGTCCCTTGGGTTTGTTATTCTAGAGTAAGGATCTTGTTCATCACAGCTTGTGGCAGGGGCAGCCATAGGCCACAACTTGCAGGAGCAGGTTTTCCTTTTCCCCCTTTATATAGGCTCTAGGAATCAAATTCAGTTTACCAGGCAAGGTGGCAAGTGCCTTGACCTCGTGGACCCCGAATAACCAGATTCTCAATGGCAACTTTCCATTTCTTTCACGTGTGAAACAAAACCATTAAATACATTTTGCATAGAAACTTGTGGAAGAGTCAATAGGGACAGCTACCGTGATGTCTTATGCCCCTTTTTGTGTGTTATTCACAGTGAGGGGAACAGGTGAATCTGATCCACTTTGATTAACTTATCTAGAACTGAATTGCTTTATTTTGTTTTCTTCCTCCTTAAAGGAATCTTCTAGGGCAAATGTCCCAGAGCAACTGTGACAGCTGATCTTGGTTGTCAAATAACATACACGGGAAGAGAGACTTCATCTGAAGAATTGCCCCCACCAGATTAGCCAATGGACACATCTTTGAAGCAGTTTCTTAATTGCTAATGGATGTGGGAGGTGCAGCCTACTGTGGGTGGTACCATCCCTAGGCAGGCGGGCTGTGTAGCAATGCAAACTTGTGAGCAAACCATGGGAACAAGCTAGGAAGCAGCTTTCCTCCACTAAGCTACCTGTTTGAGTTACTGCCCTGATTTCAATTTGCAGGAATCAAGATGAAATAAAGCCTTCCCTCCCCGAGCTGTTTTTGGTCTTGGTGTGTATCACAGCAACAGAATGCATATATTTTAAAGGAGAAAACTGTAATACTCATAATAAAAAAAAAATCTTCAAAGGAAACTAATGCAAGCTCTAAGTCAGTTGCTCTGTCTGCATTTCAAAGAGAAAACTGGGGCAACCTCAGGCAAATGTCTCAAAGCTGCTGGGGATTTGCATGAGAATAGTCACAGGGTCCCTTCCTCTGGAGATTCTGAAGTCAGGACTCTCATCGCTCCTCCTGAAAGACTCTCTGCACTGGCAGCCTCTCCTCCACTCTAACCGTTTTCACCTCCAGACAATTCAGCTCTCAGGGTGCCATGCATTTCTGTTCGGACAGGGACCGTTCTGAAACACAGGAAAGTTCTCTCAAATCTTGAGGAAGGGGCAGCAGCTGACTTGGCAGTGACTCCACGCCCTTTCCTCCTCCCAGTCTTTTTGGAGTGTGGTGCTGTTGACTGGCTTTGTCATTGTCTCAGGAAGACAGATCAGAGGCCTTCCCCCATAAATCCTTATGCAGTTTGACCTTCCATCCAACACACCCAGAAGAACTGAAAAGCAAGTTAATGGTGGCCTTGCATTCTGGAAAAATCATACACGTGCATTGCATTTTCCACCAGAGCACTAAATGAGGAAGTCAGGAGTACTGCTGAGGCATTGACATGGGGGGCAAGGACTCTGAGAGGAACGCACATTCTAGCCAGACTTCTCATGATGGTTGTCATATAATGTCCAGATATGAAACCTTGACTTATACTTAACAAGTTATTGTTATTGGGACAATAACCCCCCTTTTTTTTTCACCAGAAAGAGAAAATTTTGAAAAAATGACCAAATAGTTTATAGTGGACATAAGGAAGAGGATGGAATATTGACCAGGATATCCAGTGCTAATGTCTTCCTTAGGGTTTCTATTGCTGGGATGAAACACCATGACCAAAAACCAAATTGGAGAGGAGAGAGTTTACTTGTCTTATACCACCATATCACTGTTCATCATCAAAGCAAGTCAGGACAGGAACTTAAACGGGGCAGGAATCTGGATGCAGGAGCTGATACAGAGGGCATGGAGGAGTGCTGCTTACTGGCTTCCTCTCATGGCTTGCTCAGCCTGCTTTCTTATAGAACCCAGGACCAGAAGCCAGGGATGGAACTACCCAC